ACAATTAAGGGCTCATATTTGGAGAGATGTTCTTTGAGATGCCCAAGAACCTATTTTGAAGAGCACTAAGACACAATTTTTTTTTGTTTTGACCAACGCTAATATACATAAATAATAATTAACATTTTGAGAGCATAATTATAAAATTAAAGTTTAACTGAAACATAACCGATATTTTTACTATAAGAAGTATCCTGATGGTAACCAGAAGACAGGTTATAAAGTAATTTCGTGTAAAAACAATGTTCGCATAATTTTCTATCTGACAACTAAAACCTCTTTCAATATGTGCTCTACTTGATTATGCGCGCCTATTTGATTTATGCTAGTTGCTTGTTCGATTCACCATTTTGAAAATTTGCGCCAATCTAAAAACTTGTTATGTTTTATTTTATTTTTACGAAAGTAGAGCTTATCATTTCAACCAAAGTGTCTTTTTACACAAAACTCAACTCAACAGTAGCTGAAATCATTCCATCAAATGACAGCCGATTGCTACTTGTTCGGTTGTTATGTGTGATTATTAGGGGCTGCGCGGCAAACACAGACAACACAAGCACGCTCATAAAAGACAGCAGAAAATTGGAAGTCACAAAGCACAAAAAAAAAAAAAAACTGCAAAGACACAAAAGACTCAAAGGCAAAGTCCAAGAAACAAAAGAGTTAAACGGCAAACCATAGACTTTGAATGCAGTTAGCGTACGCCGTCGGCCGTCCGCCATCTGCTGTCAGCCAACCAAGCCACGCAAAGTCAAAGAAAACAACGTGTGAATGCAGGTTAAGTAAATAAAAGAAAGACACTCAAAAAGAGTTGAACTAAAAAGAAACAAAGTGAAGCAATAAAGAGCACGTAGAGTAAAGGAAAATAAAAGTGATGTTAGCCGACGCAATGACAGTCTGCCGAAGCGAGAATTTAATGAAGCGTGAAAATGGCGAAAACATGGCTCGCAAACACAACTATTGCCGGCGCTGCGGTAATGAACGGAAATAAATATTTGTTGTATGTACTTGTAAAATGTATACAGCAACAAATATTTTTGTGTGTTACCTATGCCGACATGACATTACATACAAATATACATATATACAAACTCACGTAATATGATTTGTGAAAGTTGTGGGCCAAAGCCGCCAAATTGWAGGTACGACGTGCATGTCGCAGCCAATTGGCAACAACAAGAAAGCAATTTACGACAGTAGGAACAATAGTAACTAACAAAGCAAGCATATATTTTTTATAATTCAGAGGAAAAAAAATGGACTCACCTTTTATGGCCACGGACATTGCCTGCACTTTACAGCCGAAGATCGCGTGCAAGTTGTGTCGCTCCCTGTAGCCCGATATCGCCATGCAGGCGGCGAAGAAAGTGATGTGCCATACGAAAGTGAAGACAACAGCGAATACCGAATAGGTGCAGAAAATCTGCACCGAACGGAACGGACTAATGATGCCAATCCAAAATGAGAACAGATCGGTGAGCGATGTAATTGTTATGGAGACGGCGGCTTCAGACATCATGTGGCCCATACGTTCGGCTACGGGCATTTTGGCGGGTGTGCGCCGCCAGCCGGCCAACATCACGAATGTGTCGTCAATGCCGATGCCTTGTAGAGTGCGAGGGGGCGAGCAAACAAAATTTAATATTTGTAAGTATCCATATATACATAAGCATGTATATTTCCATCTGTGTTTGGTCACAAATTTTATGCGTATACTCACCTATCATTAGGAAGGGCGCTGCCAAATTGATACCGATAAATTCAATGCCACAATACATGGCCAGACCGAAGGCCGCACAAGTGGCCATGATTGCTGATATGTTGCCCATTAAACCAAGCCATGGTTTGGAGCGCACRGCGTCGCCCATCATGCACGTGATGACGCTGTAGTACACATAAATAGTAACGAAATGAAAAATAAGTCAGAAATTTTAAGTGTGGAAGAAGTTGTAATATGTTTAGAAAATGGTTACCATGAAAACCATTAATAAACCATTAATAACTATTCACATTGATAATAGTCTACATCGGAAGTGTGAGTGAAAAAAATTGAAATAGATAGTAAGAATAGTATATAAGCAACTGTTCTCACTTACCAAACATTGAATTTTCAGTTGGAATAAGTTGTAATGTGCTTATAAARCGGTGAACATTAAAATCTTGCATCAAAATTGTAAGCTGAGCTGGGAACAGTTTTATTAACATTTATTCACATTGATAAACGTGTGTATATATTATTTTTTAAACAAAACAGCAATATATAAATGTTAATAATAAAGTGTTCTCACTTCCTAAAACCTAAAATTTCTTGTTTTACTCAATTCGTTTAAAACTAAAATATTGCTTCTAAACTAATAAACTAGGCTGGGTACAGTTATATTAGTACCTACTCGCATTGATTAAAGTCTTTMTATGACTTGCGATTGCAAAAAAGTGAAATAAACATTGAGCAACAACCAGTTTATAATAAGCTGTTTCCACCCCACAAAACTTCTTTTCCTTTAACTGTACATTAAAGTTTGTCTATGACTTGCGATTGCAAAAAAGTKAAATAAACATTGAGTGAAGTTTATAAAAAACTGTTCCCACTCCACAAAACTTCTTTACCTTTAACTATAACTTACCTAAATAGCGCCATTAACGCAAATGTTGAGCTAAAATATGGCACTACGGTACGCGTATTCTTCTCCAACTCATGATCCAAAGTGCGCGAGGCGAAGTATGAGACTGATATGTGTTTGAAGAGACCTGAGTTTTCCGCTTTTCCCACAACTTTCAGGAAAGTCTCTTCCCATTCGGCACCTCTGCGTGAGGAGAAATAAAAGATATACATACATATGTATATATATATTTAATGTTGTATATGAACTTAGATAAAACAATAACCCACTTTGCGTCTTGCCGTTTAGTGTCCGCAGTCACAAAATAAACTAACTGTATCGCCGGTACGCTAATAATTATATTATCCTCCGTCAATTTTGTGCCGCCAAAGAAGACTGGAAAGGCGTGCGCATCCCACGTGACCGGATTAAACATAATTGGRAAAGTGAGATTCAGTTCGCCGGATTCAATCTAAAGAATATGTTGYAATTTTAGTTTAAGTAAATTTTTTGGAGAATTTAAGTAATTTATCTCGATTTGAAGGTCCCTTACATCGTCCATTATGAAATCTAAATTCAATATATCATTCTGAAAGCATTCATTCTCCCAGCGCGCACATGCATCCTTGTATGTGAATATTTCACCTTCATATTCGACTGTTGCATTCTGTATGAGATCGTCCAGATGTCGCAATTCTTGGAAGGTCTCACGGCGCAACATATTATCGTTGCCATCTTTGGGTATAACAATGACACGTCCGAAACGACCTGTAAAAATATAGAAAATTTATAATATCGCTAATGTCGTCTTAATTCAATAAATAAGAATATAGGATATAGTATAAGGGCACTTACATATGTACATATGTGATTTATATGTATTTACTTGCAAGAGCAAAACTTAAGCAATAGAAAACTAATTTTCAATTTTCTTAAAGCTCTTGCCACTTGTAAATTGAGTATAGATTGCTTTTTGTCAACCAATTTACATAATTAATAAAAGACTGTCAACATTTTTGGCGGGAACAGTTTTCTTAAAAGTGTTCTCACTAGAGAAATTCACGCTGGTATATACAAAACTTATTTGTGAACACATCTAGTTGTTGACAGCGCAACAGAAAGCTCGTTTGCCTTAGGATTACTTTTTTGAAACTCTTCCCACTTACAATTTATATTAAACGTTTATTTTTAGAATTTTAATAACAAAATACATACGAAGTTGAGAAAATATTTGGTGGGAACAGTTTTATTAAAAGTGTTCTCAGTAGAAAATTACATGCAAGTATTTAATATAACAAGTTTTTCAATAAGTTGGCAATATTCTTATACAAGTTTGTACTTAAACTAATATATTAGTATTACTATTGGCTTGCAATAAGATGTCTTCGACGGAAAAACCGCTCTGAAAGGTCACTTTGCAACGCTTTCAACSCAAAAAAAGTGTCCAACACACAATCACAGCTGTGGTTATTTTTATTAAGACCGTTTTGTAAACAAACCAAAAATTAAAMAATTGTGCGCTTCAAATCTAACGACTACAAATAAATTTGAATTGAAAACAATTCTATGCTGCGTTGAACGACCAAATTGAACTCTATACAATGGCACGAACACCAATTGCGACGTGACAATAATTTCAAATTGCATTAACACACTGCTACGCTGTGAACGCCAAAAGCAATTACATGCTCGCACATAATTTTTTTGAGCGGGAATAGTTAGGAGCGCAAGCTCTATAAAATTTGCGAATGCGTGTCTAAGGTCTGGGAGTGAATGGTGGGATGTGCTGTAAAAATATTTTCTCATTWAATTTTGCTGCAGWTTGCTTTGATAAATAAGYGCACTAACATTTGATTACGAATTATTCAAGTGTAAGTATATTTTTTAAAATATGGGGTAATCACTCTCCACCCCCGGGTTTAGTCGCTTAATATAATGTCTTTGAGGCAATTCAAGTTCGTATATAATGTAAAGAATTTATAATGTCAATTGGAGCGCTCTTCCATTTTTAGTTGCCCCTCGGCTTACGTGTCTAAAGACATTTCGATATTAACACAATTTTTTTTTTTAATTAATATTAAAATTATATTTTTGATTTASTGAATGAGTCGCTAGGCAATTCTATACTTGTTAATGAGGAGCTGTTKTAGTWRMGCATTTTTATTGRTTTTAATGCATAGAAATATATATATATAGATTTACGGTGCAATGAAATTTCGAAATTTGATTTTCGAATATTGGCTGTAGGATAATAATATTACAAAGAATTATAAACATTTTTATTCGAATTTGAAGAAAATTGGTTTTCGAACTTTCAAAAAAATTATTAAAATTCTCTGTAAATCTCTGGTTTAGTGTTGCATGTCCTAAATCGTTTCTAGGAAATTAAAGAAAAAATTAATTTTTATTGGAACTTCAAGGAAATAAGTTTTCCAACAGTAAAAAAATGTATCAAAATTTCCTAAAACTCTATTATTGTTACTGGGGTCCTAAATAGATTCTAGAAAAGTAAAAAAACGAATTTTGATTCCAACTTGAAGTAAATGTGTTTTCGAACTTTCAAAAATATTTATTAAAATTTCTGTTTTTGTCACGTCTTCTAAATATATTCTAGAAAGGTAAAAAAAAACTAGAATTTCTATTCGAAGTTGAAGACTATAAGTTTCGAACTGCCAAACATATTTCTTAAGTTTTCCTAAATCTCTGTTCTTGTTTCTGGGGTCCTAATTGGATTGTAGGAAAGTAAAAAAAAATCGAATTTTGATTCGAACTTAGGGAAAAAATTTTTCGAACTTAAAAAAATTATTAAAATTTCCTAAATCCCTCTTTTAGTGSCACGTGTTCTAAGTTCATTCTATGAAATTAAAAAAATCTACTTTTGATTTGAACTTTAAGAAAATAAGTTTTCGAACTGTCAAAAAATGTATAAAAAATTTTCAAATCTCTGTTCTTGCTCCTTGGATCCTAAATGAATTCTAAGTAAGTAAAAAAATTCGAAATTTAATTCGAACTTGAAGAAAATAGATTTTCGAACTGTCAAAAAAATTTTCAAAATTCTCTAAATCTCTGTTATTGATTTTAGGGTTCTAATGGCATTCTAGAAAAGCAAGAAAATATCGAATTTCGATTCGAAATTGAAGGAAATATGCTTTCGAACTGTTGAGAATAATTATCAAAATTTTCTAAAACCCTTTTCAACGTCACGTGTTCTAAACGGTTTTTAGGAAAAGATAGAATTTTGTTTCGAACTTGGAGAAAATAAACTTTCGAACTGCTATATGCATTTATACAACAATTTTTAAGATATTAATAACTCATCAGCAACCATCTCACTTATTACTACATGTATTTATATAGTTCTCTGAKCTCTTATTATAACCGCTTCCCACGCTAAATAACAAAAGACCATTCACTAAAGAATACCATTAATATTACATTTATGATATTTTTATTGCTGAAGAAAGCCTGCTTTATAGCATAATTTTCGCACATATTGATATGCAAGCTTTGTATGCCGAGTAAAAGCGCTTTCAATCAGCAGTCGACACCCATTCACATTACACCAATGAAAGTGGCAAAGTGGCACGATAACACCGTTGTGCGATGAATCAAGAAATTTAGAGGAAAATGTAATATTACTCACAGGCTAGTTGAGGCAGATTGCAAGACGAGTCCGCCAAATAAATTTCACTTTAGAATTAAATACTATGTCTGCACTCCAATTATTATATTAAATAATGTGCAACAGCTAGCATCTAGTAAAATGTGTGGCAATGTGAGGAAAACTAAGCCTAACGGCATTAACATATTATATAGTATGAGTGTATGATTACTATAACTTTATTGAAAGCGCGAGGCATGAATCATTTCCATGTCATAAATCATTGAAGAAGAATTTGAAAATAGCTGAAACTTACATTTTCCTTATTTTTTATACCCAGGCACAATGTTTAAGTACCAGATAAGGTTGGTGAAAGTGTATTAGTAGTAATACTTCATTTTATTATATTTAGTTTAGGCCTTCGGTTATTTTATCACTACACTTGCATGGAATTTCCAAAGAAAAATTCATGCGCCAATCGCTCGTTAAAGCACGTGACTACTGCTACCCGGCAAGTAGTGTTCGATTGCTTAAGAGTTTCCTTAACTATGATAACACAAAAATCTCTATGTAACGTACTACGGCGCACGGAGCAATAGCCGGTCACTTGTTAAATAAAAAATTATACAAATTATTTCCATATCACACTGACAATCACAGTGGCATTTCTGTTTTGTGTTTCTGCTCACTTGAATGACGTGCGAATGTTGYAAACTTTTGGCGTTTGTGTCTACAATGGTTGCACTCGCTATTATTGTTGCCTTAACTTGCWTCATTTAACCGATTGTTATAGCATATTTACTTAATTTACGTGCAATTGCTTGTAATCTGGGCACAGAATATTGCAACGTACTGACGTATCACAAGACTGCGTCGCAAATCTTTCAAGTCGCCGTTGCGACATTAGTCACCGGTGGTGTGCGCGCGTACGCCACATCTCAAGCGCAAATAAAAAATGACATGACATATTTAATATAATTGCAACAAGTTGCAATTGCAACACCTCTAAC